GGGAGCCCAACAGATAACTGCTTGAGACCGGTCACACACGGCCTTTATATGAGAAGTTTTTAAATTGTTAGCTCCGCTCTTGTTTAAAAGGCCTTACCACCGGAGACGGAAACCCGTAAGGTAAGGTGAGGTGTGACATTTTTAGGGTCGATCTTTCCTAACCCTTCCTTCTTTGTGAGAAGGCAGCGACGCTGCAGATGCTGGCTGTCCGAGGGAAGATCTTACTGTTGTCGCACCCCCCTGCGGTGAGCAGTACGACTTCGCCCTCAGACCTGGAGTAGCTGCTTTTAGTCTCATCGTGAAACTAACTAGCACACAACAGTTTCTATGAACAGATTTCCGACAATTAATTTTTTAATTATTTTTAGAGAGGCACAATGCTATCCGTCAAAAATCTATCTGAGAACAATTTTTACTTATCCTGAGAATTCAACTTTTATGAAAACAATGAATTGACATTTTATCAATTAATTGATTACAATGTTAAAAAGCCTAAAAATTATTAATCATAACATCATAGTCTATTTAGATAATAAGCACATCATAATCAAACACTACTAGAAAGAGAGAAGGAGAGAGAGAGAGAGAGAGGAACATGTGACACCTCTAAAGCTAGAATACAAAAACGCTTGATGAATCCAGAAGTTACTTAACTTAGTAATGAATATAATACAACGATCAATAAAGTACACGATAGTACCCCCACACTAGATTTGATGTGTTTTATTGTTATTGATCAAGTTATAAAAGTGTTATGTAAAAAGCCTAGTGTATATTCATATCGTTTATTCGTTATTGATAAGTGCGGTGAAAAAAAAAAAACAGAATTCTGATTACGTGTTCATCTTATTGTCTGAAATATGCATTGGATACAATCAGTTGTATTAGTTTGAATAAAATGAAAACCGACCATAATATAGGTTTATTGAAAATAATTTAAGTGTTAAGGAATTTAGAGTCTTACAGTTAAATCTATGAAATAAATTATTTAGATTATTGTGTTATTCATTCTGAGTATCAGATAATCTTATCACAATACAGTAACTTATTATGGTATTTTCAAAAGAATTGGAAAATAGGCACTAATTATTTTTTTTTAAAATTAGGCAAACAGAATCATTTATAATATATTTTGAAGTTAGTGGAATTTCGCTAGCGTTCAGAAATATGGACAACTTGAATGCAAATTTGATTACTTATGTAACTTTTGCAAAATATTTATACTGCCAATTACACTGATGAGAAAATTACATCATCAATAGAAGGAAACTACGGCTAGCAAATATGTGTTCGGCTGTGAGAACCTGTTTAAACTACACACACAGAGATTATCATACCTTGAATTTTGTATCGATTTATGCGTGAACTGGTTGTTTGTTCAATTAACTACAAGATCACCCACTAACCAGCCTACACATAAAACTTCGCTTCTTAAGTTGTTTACATATGCATCCTCTTTTCAATGTTCCCAGTTAAAGTATTCAGTTGTAAATATATCTTTCCTTCTACAATATAAGGAACTTTTTATCGTGCAATGTTTTAAACAAAATAACATTGTTGAAAATACGAATTATTACTAAAACAATTTTACACATCTATAGTTTAAGTAGATTATTTATTGTTTTAAACTATTTTTTTTTGCCGAAAATTATAATTTCTACGAAAAAAAAACAAAACATTCGATAATCATATACTTTTGAATTACTGCTTAACGAATTTATAAAATACAGTGATGATTTGACGCATACACCTAAGTATGCATTCTTGAAATGTTTCATAGTGGCATATGTTAAACGATGTCTCAAGTGACATAATGGTTTTAGTGACACAATCAGTTCTACATTTCAATCTTAGTCTGAAAAAAACATACAAGATATCATTTTACATTCTATCCTTCTTCTTATATATATATATATATATATTCTCATTGTGTTCATTAATTAGTCACTGAATTTTATAACTAATGTAATATTGTTTGGTTTTTATTAATACAACAAACACTATCAACCAAATTGTCACCATGTCGCCATACCACATCAGCACAGAAATATAATTGTCAATTCAAATCCAATAGTAGAAGAGGTAGTAAAGGTATTAGAAGTAATCGGAGAGGTTAGGATTACAAGATATTATTCACGAAGTATGATTTAATGAGATAAGTTTAGAAAGTCAAAACCAGAGGTGTTGAAGACCCAGAAGATTAGGATTTGAGAGAACACAAAGAATAAATGCACTGGCGCCATTGCGAACGATTTTGGGCCATGTCATTCAAGGTCTCTAACCATCGATTATTATCATCTCGCGGACCCCAACCAGGTAGTCGACAATTACCGACATGGCTAAGTCCACTCGTCAATGACTTCATGGATTTCTGCCATGTTTTGGTCTGGCCGCCCCTAACTTTCTTCCAACCTATTCCTACACTACAAAACAAAGCTCGACGAGGCAGTCGGTGGTTGAGCAAACGTAACACACGTCCCAACCACCTCAACCGATGAAGTTTCATTACTTCATCGATTGATCTGCCATTATTACCTAGTACACGTTTCCTAATAACAGCATTGCTCACTCGGGTGTCCCAAGATATACGAGCAATGCTTCGAAGACACCTATGATCGAAAACCAGTAACCTACGAATATCTTCTACTGTCATTGGCCATGTTTCACAGCCATAAAGTAAGACGGAGCGAACCACTGCGCAGTACACTCGTCCTTTAGTCAGCAAACGGATATCTCGCCTACGCCATAAGTGACGCAGGTTGGCAAAAGCCAATCGAGCCTTCTGTATCCGTGCTGAGATTTCGTCAGTCACCAGGCCATCAGCACTGATGAGACTCCCAAGATAAGTGAAGCGGTATGTGGCCAGTCAATGTATGCATGCATGTCATTTTTATACGGGAATGATAGCACTTCAAGTAGCTGCATGATACCATGGCTAACTGTTTCTTAAAAACACTGTCTTTAATCAATAAATGTTCTCTATTTTAATATGACAAGATGAAAATAAATTATTATATTAAACATTACAAATCACTAGAAGTAGAAAAGGCATATCACGATTTCGATGAACTATATTCCAAACTCAAATGTAATTAGTATGGTTTTTTTTTGTTTCAAGTTAATTCAATAAAAATATTTTATATAATAACCAATTTTTACCACTAAAATTAATTTAAATTCATTTAGTTCACATGGTTATTATTATTATTGATAACTGAAAGGAGAGAAAATTTCAAAAAACTAAAAAGTATAGTTAAAAAATTTTCTAACGACCTTGATTAGAAGCAAGAGCTTTAAAAATTAGTAGATTTGCTAATTGGATTACAACAGACTTTAAATATGCTATTTGAAATTTTTTTAAAAAAAATTAGCGGTATATTTTAATTAAAGATAATATGTACAAATCACTTCTTCTGTATTTGATATTTAAGAGATATTTTTTTAAAGTTATGATTCAAACAAGTTTTTTAAAAAAAAAAAGTAAAATTTGAAGGATTTGAAAATAATTCATTAAATTTCCCGTAGCTAAAGGTTAAAATGTAATTTTCACCATTCTACTACACACTTACTAAGTAGATTAATAAGTCAAACAGATTCATTAATTACACTATGGCTCATCACCTCCTAATTGATTTTAATGATTGAACTGACAAACAACAAAGCACCGTACACTAAATTTGAATCAGATTCATGAAGTTATCAATGGGACAATATCACTCCTTGACTGATTGTAGTTGAAGATTTAACATCGAAATCTCTTAGTTAATGGTCGAGTGTTTAGATAACTTCAAAAGGAAATGAGGAAGTGTTTAGTGATCATGCTTCATTGTTAATCAACTTTAAGTTACTATCGACTTAGATAACAATCCCGTGCATACATTGGATATTTTTAAGGATAGATATCCATTTTGGATAGTGTCTTTGCGCATAAGCTAAACAAAGCCAATAAACATAAAAATGTTCACATAGATTAACATGGACTGAAATTTTCAAACGTCATAAGTAATTTTAGGTAGAGATGGACGGTAGCTAGAAGTGAAATATAGGATGTACGTTTCGTTTTATTACGGACTGTTCAGCTGAACATACCTTCAATTCCAGAGTTGATGTTCACTCTGGGACTTGAACCCAGTACAGTTCACTTCAAACACCAACGTATTATCAACTTAGCTAAATACACCAGATAATCACTGGTTTATGCAACAGGGTGAGTTTCAATTCATGTAAGCTGTTTGGATCATCCTATCGGTATTAAGGACTGCAATTGATCAGTGGAAAATACGGTACTGGGTTGGAGTTCCAGATTAGACACCAACTCTGGGATGCAAATACGTCTAGCTGACGAGATAGGATGTGCGTTCTGGATTTCACTGATAACCGCCACTCATATCTGCCTGAAAAACATTGAATAAAAACTCCACAAATGTCATATGGAAGAAACTGAAGGGACATTAACTTTTAGAATTACTTTATAGACTAATATTATATAAATTTTTATTGTATAGTTACTAAGTAACTAGAATATTACTTACAAATCATTGTTATTTTTTTCATTTATTGATATGATGTGATCGAGTGTGCTTGTATACAAACCACAAATGTTTGAAATAAACAATTCTGTTCTATACGATACGTGGACTTCTTGACTCCACGGGGACAGGAAAGGAATTCTGAACCAAGAGGAACTTGGGAAATTATCCAAGGGTCGTTTGAGCGTACTCGTATTCTGATTGGTGTTCTGCTTGTGTCACATGGTATCAATCAACGGTTAGGAAATAACACAGCTATCTGTACTACATCTTTTATATTCACACAATTGAGAATATAATAACCATTACAATTCTTTATACATATATATATAATGATAGTCGATCATTGAATATTATGACAGACAAGGTTACAAATGGTGTATTTTGATATAATAACTATTAAACACCAATTAATTAACAAACAGTTGATTACTGCATCGAATTATTTTACATAAATCAATAACACAGAAAGAAAATTGATCACAAACTGTCAATCATTTCGAATATTAACACAGGTACAAGGCTTTGAATCAGGAATGATGCATAACGAAGATAATCATGATCAATGTACACATAAACTGTAATAAATAATATTTATTGAACGAAATGGTTAGTGTATAGTAAATGAACAGAAATTTTGTGTTGTTGTTTAAGTGACATTTGATGGTAGTGGAAAGACTGTAGTAGTAAAGTAGGCAGAAAACTCTACCACATTAAAGAATGATAATGCTTTGTTGACTCCATATTTTTTTCATCATAGTGACTTTTAAAAATTGTCGATTTCATTTTAATTGACGTAAAAGCACAATCGATTTTAATCAATTGCAACTGAGACAAGTTGATTTTAGATCTAAGTAACTTAATGCAATGACATAAATGATTCAACCGATGGAGTACAAGCCTTGGAAGATATTTTGTTTTCACATTTATGTACAAAAAAGCAAATGAACTACTGAAATGTTGTTATTGACTAATCCTCAAGATGATCACCAATTAGAATAGACAGGATATGTTTATTGGTTCTTCCGGTGGTAGTCAGATTGACTAAATGGTAGTTTTATCGGTAATTTTGATTAAGAATCTTTCTTTTTTTTAAATTATGCAGAGAATAAAGAGTTACTGAGAATATTAGGTGTGTAGTGATGTTATGAGAACTGTTATCTTTATTATGAGACAATACGGTATTATGGTCCGATTGTAAAATTCCTAATAGAAGGAAATTTGCATTATCTATCACATTTCAATTGAAATTTACGAAAATAATTTTAATAGTACACAAGTAACAAGTGAAGTTGAATTAACTTGTTAATTAGGATTACTTTGTAGTAATGCATTATAAGCGTTTCGTTGAATCGAATTCTGGAATTCATAAAAACGAAACCGTGAGAATGTAGAAACAAATGAAAAAAACATATACACCTTTACAAAAGCTCGATACAACTGTTGCATGCTAATTTAAATCGGTAGCTGAATAAGACTTGATATTGATTTTAACAGTACAAAACCTAGAGCGGATCTAAATGCACCATTTATGTATGCATCCTTCATTTATAAACAAATACTTACTTTCTAATTAATTATTTAGGATTAAGAAATCGTCGGAAAGAAATAAGCTTTGCATATGATACTCTGAAAGCTATTTCTCAGAATATATAACTGCAATGTAGTTTACGTTAGTTAGTTAGTTACTTTTAAAAATAACATCTAATCTTCTCATAAACTGAAATTATTTAAAAAGTATACAATGCAAAAAATCTTTAAGTGAAAATGTAAATTTTTACCAAATGAAATCAATCAATAGTAAAACTCATTTTGGAACACAGGATTCAAATAACCAACCGTTAAGTTGGAATATGCTTCTTTCATAATAAAACATTTGATCCTGAAACAAAAACATGTTTTCATGAAGTTTGCCGAATTGCATTACCAATACTATTCAGTTAGGTGGGTGGTCTAAGAAGAATGGTCTAATTTATAGATAATTCAAAAATCAATTATAAAACTATTACAATTGAATAATGCTTTAAATTTGTTTCAATTTAGTTTAGGACTCCACATTTTAAACACACCTAACGGTGACCAGATTGGTAATCGAATTCGGAATGTTGCAATGTCACAACAATCACCAAATGCAAAACAGTAAGTTTGAATTCAGTAATAGTGATATCACATCGAAGGTAAGCCATTATAGTTAAGACATAACAAGTGTTCAGTACTTGTTAGATTTTACAATTTACACTATAGAATGACTTTATTTTTAAGCAACCATTGTAAAATTAAGAAGCACTAGAACAATCTCGCCTAATCCCTAATAGGTATATATATTTATTTTGAATACTTTCATATTCACTCTGATGAATCTATGTATTGATGTTGTTGCGAGTTATCTTTGTACCTGATATTTTTTAATCTGCGAATAATTTTCATGTATGGAATCAAAACAAAATTAAGTAAGATTTATAGGTTGTTTAAATTAAATATACCAGTATAATTAATTTTGGTGAAAAAAACACTTCAAACTAATAACAAAAAGACACATATCATATATGTCAATTTGTTATACTAGTTTGTGCAATGGGATTAAACGTTTGAAGTGAAAGATACTATTCTGAATAAAATAAGTAGGTAGGTTTATATACCTTCACATAACACACACATATATTTAATAGATGTATATAAAAAAAATTTAGACTCTATTTGGCTTATCGAAATGAATTGCAATCATAGTCTTGGTGAAATTTTATTAACATTTGAATGTTATTCGAGGCGGAAACTTAAGTTAGTGATGATAATGTTTATTTATCTCTAGACTACTTTCATAACTTATGAATATAGTATTAATTCAAAAATAAAATAAAATTCACGCCAATATATGACGTATTCAAGCATTGGGTTTTCTAACATCTAATCAATAGTTGATAAAACTGAATTGTTGAATTCCAGGAAAGCAATTTCTTACCTCAAATTGACTGTCTTCGAAAAAAGACAACAACTCCAAAATTGATCAAAAGGGAAAATATATATATCACTCAATCATGATGACATAAGAATTTTTAAAAGTCAATCGATCAGTTGTAAACAATGTAGAATCTGGCACATATGAGATTTTAAAGTTAACACAGCATATTAATACAGAGAGCTGAAATTATCAAGACAAATACGGAAGTAGTAAAAGTAATTAACATTATCAGTTGGTAGTAGTAAAGATTAGGCATAGATGGCATAATTTCAAAAGAATGAATTCGCTACAAATTACAACACAGATCTTGAGTTATACAACTAAAGGAAGGCATCGTGAACGATTCAGAGCTACATCATGCGCCATCGATCATTGAGTGCAACTTTTATGCGGGGCCCCAAAAAAGGTAGTATGCATATTTAGCAATACAGCGTAGACCGAAATCCATTGTCTTCTTAGACTGATGTCAGGTTTTGCGATAACTGATCCTAGCTTTATATTAACCTATTTCTACACAAGCTAATATCGCTCACTCAATTTTTTAGAGAGACATATAGCTAATTAATGTACACTCTCAAATATGTCAGTTAAACTATGTAAACAAAATAAAAAATGGAATTGTTTCTTTAATTAAAACAAGTAAAAACACTACTATTGCATATACCGATATTAGGGGGCGGTTAAATAAGTAATTTTAAAGATTATAAGTGTATATAGGAAGAAAGGAAAGTAGACAAGGTAAGAGGAGAAGTGAGATACTCAGGTAAGTATCACTTTATGAATAAATCATACTGTTGAAACTACTTTCACTGCTTTCATTCAAAGATAAGAGACGGCAATGTTTTGTTTTTCAAGAGAAAAAAACAGATCCAGATGACGATAATATTAGTCTGTTTGTTTGTAAAAAAAATATTTGATTGAATGAAAATAATAATAACAATAATAATAATAACAAATGAATCATTCAATGTAAAGAACATATGTCTATCTATTTATTTCTGTTCGTATTTATTGATTTATATATCAATAAATAATTGATAAATTACAGCTGCCTTGATGAATAAATAGACAAGATAGTTGGATCGATAGACCGAAAGGAAGAAATCACATTTTATCTACCGTTAATTTGGAAATTGTTGTGGTACCTTTGAAAATTCAAAGTTTGAGAGACAGAGATAACACATTTGATTGTATTCTTCATTATTTAAAGATTATTAAAACAGACTAATATGTCAATGAACTGGCTGAAATAGGAAATTACTCTTGATTAAGACAAGTTCATTGCTTTAATATAATAACTGTTAAGTGAATAAAAGTTGCATATTTATATCATAGTTGGTATAAAATAAAATTACGTCTTAGTATGGATTCGACAAATATCATAAGTCAACATTTGATGAGTTTGATACCTGACTTATGGAAACATCAATAAAATTGCTCAACGTATTATATTATAGAGAGAATGTATTTCGTTGATCAAAATGAATGTAACTAGTTTCATTTATACGATTAGATAAACTAAGAAATTCTTCAAATTAGCTGCTATTATTATTATTATTATTATAATCATTATTGCTTTTTATTTTGTTCAGATTAAAGTGAATATTTAGTAAACGACAGTAAATGTATTCAAAGATTGTTTCCAACTTTTCGATACATCACTTTAAGAAATAATCAGAATTCATTGGTTAAGTCAATAACATTTTATGATGTAAATTTACTAAACAACTTCGAGCAAAAAATATCATGTTCATTTTTGCATTTAACATGAAAATATACTAAACTAACGAGTTAGAATCTTACTGTTATTATTCATTCATCGTGAAGAAATCATAACTTTCAAATGACTAATAGAGTGACAATCAGAATAACATAATTATGGCATTGTAGAACAAAAAAGTATACATATCATATTTAAGGCTTTAAACTAATCAACAACATCATTAACCTAGTGGAAACAATATTGAAACATTAAAACAAATCAAGTATAAAAAACATAAAATAAAAAATTTGTAACATTCATTCAAGTAAGAATCAATGAAAAAAGGAAATATTCAATTTCACCATATTTTTTATATGAACAATAATGATAAATCTGACTGTTAGACAAACAAAAATGCATTTTATTATAAGACGTGTCACTTTTGTTCAAACGTACAATAGTTAAAATAAAATTTTGTGCATGAAAATGTTAAATATATATACATATATATAGACAGACAGACAGACAGACAGACAGATATAACACAGAACTTCGTACATACGTACGTACATCAGTTCAGGTTGCCATGCCCCATCATCACAGAGATGCAGCTGTCATTTCAAATCCAAGAGTGATAGCAATAATAGAAGTATTAGCAGTAATGGAGAAGATTAGGGAACGAAGATATAATTCGAGAAGTATAATTCAGTAAGATAAATTTAGAAGGAGAAAGATAGAGATTATGAGGAATGCAGAAGGTTAGAATTTGAGAGAACACAAAGAGTGGATGCACCTGCGCCACTGCAAACGATTCTGAGCCATGTCGTTCAAAGTCTCTCTCTCTCTCTCTCTCTCTCTCTCTATATATATATATATATATATATATATATATATATATGAAACGTCGTTCTATTTTGTCGCTACCTCATAAAATGACGATTTCAAAAAGTAAAAAATAGCAAGTTGGTAGTGATATTTAACAATTATTATCCAGTTAGAATTTAGAACCGTCTTTGATTACGCATGATAATACATGCGTGATTGTTGAGATCTATTTGTGACTGACATAGAATGCTGTGTATTTTTTCTTTCAAAAGGATCATGTAAAATATTGACAAAAATGTATAACTGTTTTTAATGGTCGATAAATGATTTAACTCAAAGGAATTTTATCAGAATATTAGCTGAAAACAAGAAATATTTGAGCTACAACCAAGAAGTGAAATTTATTTTTTAACAAAAAGAACCCAATTCTAAATGACAGATTCACAAGATCACAAATTTCTGTTCTAGAAAACTACACTTTGTCGAATTATTGAGTTGCATTATTACTACTAGCACCCAACTGCGTCATAAAGCAAGCTCTAACTTGAAATCCTCAAGGTCAAGGAAAAGACAGTAGACCTATGAACACATCATGCAGAAAATTGGAATAGCGGTCAGGAACGACTGGACATAGTTGACTGGGGACTCCTGCTCGGAGGCCTACACTCCATGAAGAGTAAAAAGTGTAAGTATTATACTGCTAGGATGGTGTTTTCTTGTCTTCACTTAATAAATTATAGTTCTGATGAATAAGACAATTCCTCAGTTACTTTTCTGATATTTTTATTATCCTGTTGATCTCTACATAATTAACAAGTGATTAGTTACTTTCTCACTTAATTTGTTATTTTGTTAGACGTTTATATAGTAACATGTTCTGAGCCACCCAGTTCAATCAATTATATATCATTGACAAAAAAAGAACAATAAAGCATATAGAGACGCGAAGAATTATAGGTTTTTAACAATGGTTTTATTCATGACTAGCCATAGATCCAATTTTGTTTTGAACTCGTAAGTGGAACATTTTTAAAAAAAAAGTTCCAAACGAAAATGAAACAAACTTTCAATGGCCTGTAGTTTTAAAAGCTTTATCAGATAATTTCAATTCGATGTGAAAACTATTTTTGATATTTAAAAAAAATAAAAATAAAACTTTGGTTACAATTCGTTTAATTCCTATCATTTACAGAAATTTTATTACATTAATTGATTGTAATAAACTAAAATTTGTTAGAAAGTGGCGCGAAAAATATTGTGAAATTCAGAGTTAAAATCTGTTTGCATATTTTTTTCATTACTAAACAATGAATTAAAATTATTTTACATTATGGTAATTGTATAAATTTACTTAGCTTGTAGTGCCTCCACATACATTTGAGTTGGCTTATATATTTAATTTGGTTAAGCCTTTTGATTAACTTATTTAACCAAGCCATTTTTGTATAGCAACAACTTATATGTACCAATGGTATTTATCATTGTTTGGTTTGTATGAGCCATTGCTTACCGCCTACGAGTATATTCATCCTATTCGCTTTAATGTTAATCTCTTAAATATTTCGATGACTCAGGCATTTCCCTATGAATGTATATGTACATTTTAATCTTATTAATTCATTCGCCCATTCGCGCACTCACCAATTCGGTCGCTTGTGTACCTGCCCTGACTGCTTGTAGTCTGCTGTTCCATTTGGGTGGTGTGCTAAAAATAAGCGAATTCAACACTTGATGTTTGCCGTCTAATTTATAACTGTCAGGCCCTTATTTGATGACGATTGCATAGACGAGCGAATTACGAAGCTTAAGAACACGTTGGAATTGGTCACCACGAGCTCATTAAGTGTTACAATAGTTTTTGCTAGTTCTTACATTACGAATAACTTGTTATGGATCAATTACAAATATTCTAGTTGTCTGTAATTGTAGAAATTTCATTCTTCACAGTAAACATATGATTTTGCACTTTATACATAGTATTCTGTGATTAGTAAGTGGAAAAACAAATAAATTTTGTGCAGATAATTGGTTTGTCAGCAAGTAAAATATCACAGTAGTTAGTGAGAAGTCTTTTTAGCATAGACAAAAATAACAATCTAATTGCATTACGGAGTTGTGAAGATTGTTAAGTTACACATTTGAAATCATGAGTCGATCATTTTTAGACCACCATTAGAAACCTGGAAGCACTAGACGTCCGTTTCTTCCTGGTGTGGGACTCATCAGCAGTGCGCATCCACGACTCCTGGACCTCGCAGGATTCGAACCCAGGACCTTCGGTCTTGACAGTAACTACCGAAAGCAGTGTATGAGGTTGCGCAAGACCGTGAATCGATCGAAGTTAGACATTAACACCGTATCAGTGGTCCAGAGGTTAGGCGTTTATGCGCAAGACCGAAGGTCCGAGGTTCGAATCATGCGGGGTGCAGGAGTCGCGGATGCGCACTGCTGATGAGTCTCATACTAGGACGAAACGGCCGTCCAGTACTTCCAGGTTTCTAATGGTGTTCTAACAATGATCGATTCATGATTTCAAATGCGTAACAATATAATCATTCATTGTTTAACATGTTTCACGTTTCAAAAGTTCAGATAATTCATTTCTGTGAATAAACTTACATAAGCGGGAGATGATCCGGACACTCCAATAGCTGCATTAAACAACGATTCGGGAATAGCTTCAAATACAGGAAAGATTGATGAACACAAAGTAGAAATCAACTCAATATCTTGCTCTGTAACAGAAGATGTATGTGCATATACTGCAGTACCAACACCGACTAGACATGGTGTGTTAGGCATAATACGAATAATTCGAGTAGATTCTGGCACAACCTGAAAAAATACATGAATATAACGAAATTGATTTTTTTTTTAATGTATATGAATGAGTCATTTTGAGAATTGAAATCATCTATTTGAGAAAAAAAACATATAACTTTGTTATCGATCTGAATAATTAGAATAATTATAATAAACATTATTTTGGTTGGACATATTAATGTACAAAACCATTTTAGAATTAGGAATGAATAATTAAATGTCTTAGATTTCACTGCTTTCACACATTTACGATACATAAACATTCTGGTAATAAACAGTGTTTATGATTGTAAACCGTAGTAAAAAGAAAAACACATAGAATCGAAGCAGACAACGACTAAAACTAATGGTAAACAACGTTTTGCACACTAATTTCAGAGAAGTAAAAGGGGTAAAACATTTTTTTTTTCGTTAGATTTCCCAAGATAATAAAAAAAGACTAGGCCAAATATAAATTACCTGTTAAGATTTATTTAAGATTTACAAAGAAACAACACAGCTTTCATTGAAAAGTGAAAACGCTAGGATTGTGCAGTAGTTAACAGTTTGTTATGAAAAGTACTACTATAGCAATTGTTTTATGATATTTATTTCGATCCTTGATCAGTTATTTGTCATCTAAAGTTACATTATTTCGATTGATCGTTTGAAGTCTAAAGAATAACTTTAATTCTGAATTATGATCAATCAGTTGATCAGTGGGTTATATCCTTTTTTTAATCTACTCCTTTGGAATTAAGGAGTTGACTGAGTACCTAAATGATTAGTTAAAAAGCCTTATTCATCAATCAATCAGCCAACAGCAACGAAGAACTTCGTACGTACGTACATCAGTTTAAGTCGCCAAACCACATTAGCGCAGAGACGCGATTGTCACTTCAAATCCCATAGTAGTAGAGGGAGTAGGAGTATTAGCGGTAATTGGAGAGAAAAGGGTTCGAAAATATTATTCATGAAGTAGAATCTAGTGAAAAAAACTTGAAAAAAACGATAAAGGTGATGAGGAACTCCAAAGGTCAGGATTTGAGAGAACACATAGAATGGATGCACCTGCGCCATTACAAATGGTTTTGAGCCATGTCATTCAGGGTCTTTAACCATCGATTACTATCATCTCGTAAACAACGTTAACTGTAGTACTTCTATCAAGTTAACTTTATTAAATCTGATTGAAAAAATCATTATACAGATAAAGGAAGTCACTATTATCAACATTACGAATTCTTCAGTAGTATGTCGGTCCATTAGATCCCTTAAATGATATCTTTTAATAAACCTGAATACCCTACGGAAATCAAAATCTATAACTATTTCAAGATAAGTATTATATATATATATATATGCACAAAGCGAAAGGCTGAGGACTTTTGTTATTCATATGACATGCTGCAAGTAAGAAAATCTTTAAGAACTGCTCCAAAGCAAAGAATAAGCAACCGTGTTAACATTCGATGAGCTGGTGAAGACAAGAACAAGTATTAATTCAGATACTACAATGTCCAACAAGGATGCCTAGTCACTATTTGTTTTGCACACGTCAAAATATCAGCAATGCTGAATTAAATGTAAACATAAGCTGAAACTAAGTGGGCGATTTGCAGTTACACTAGTTATTTAGTTCACTATATTTAGTCATCATAAATATTTTTTGAAAATTCTCCTTCTCTATGAATAGCTAATAAAGATAGAGAGCTGTAATTCAAGGTCCTTTTTAAAAGATCTGAGTTCGTGCCATGTACCGTTCTTCAAGACTCTTAGTTAATAGCAAAATAGCCCCAACACACATGAGTAAGATTCAGCAATGATAACTGTCAAGTTAAACAGTTAGTAAAATAATCTCAAATATAATTTGAGAATGATGTAATCAACATTATACGAACTAGATGTTAGTGAAGACAATTTAAGCTTTTCTGATTGAACAGCAAAATTTTTATCGACTACCTATCCGCTAAGTTAAATAGAATATTGTAAATTGTGATAATTATCTGATAGCGAATATAATTCCATGCAATACATTTTAAAATATTTGACAAAGAAGCCAAATCAATTTAAAAAGTTCGATTTTGGAAATTCATTGTCCCCAGCCTTTTACATACGTGACTCAAAAATCAATAATTTGCCAACGATGTAAATCATGAATAACATATGATGTTAATTTTTTTTTAAAACAATAATCACATGAAAATTTTTTTCGTAAATAAAAAACTGAAACGTATGTTATCTGATTACTATTATTATTATCATTATTATCCTTGCAATTATAATTTATATATTACTAATGAAAATACATCTACTAAGTAGTATCTTATGCTTTCTTAATTATTATTTTATTCATTTACATGATTTGTCAAGTGGCTAAAAGAAAAATCAATTGAAGTTTTAAACTTTACAAACTTAATGGATATTTTATGCAGACGCATCTATGAAAACGTTAATTGACAGATAAACTAACTTTTTTTTTCTCTAGATATTCTAAATATTCTAATCTGCATATGATATTACAAAACACATCATTAAAAAGCAAACAAGGTTTATTTCAGTTAATTGAAATCAATAAACAAAGAAGTGTTGCGCTAGTTTATATATTGCATGAAAGTGGAAATATATGTAATATGTAAATCTATATGACTAGTTTCATTTTCAACAATGTCATTGATATCAAGGTGGAAAAGTTAGCTGAATTGTAGTTCAGCTAACTTTATATCTGATCAACAATCTTTGAATCAAAGTGCCACTGTCGTGGAAAATCAAATAGTCTCTAATATTGTCTTAATTGAACAGTGGGAAGTTATAATCCAAAGTACACAGATAATTGGATCAGTTGATTATTTAAATTTTCAACGAAAACTATCTTTTACTGCTGGTTTTCATAATCTATCCAGTCTAACATCATACTTCATTCGCCATCAGTATGATAAATGCTATTAGCAATATCACATGATTGAAAGTGGTTCTCGATGGGAATCCTTGAACCCAGATACTTGTCATTAAAATGAACGTTTACGGTAACAAAGATTATATAAGTAGGGTACGTGTTTTTGAGCTTCGAGTGGTAATAAGGGCGTTTGTATCTCGACCCGTAGACGTAATCCATGACAGAAAAGTAAAATGTCGGATGAGAATCCCGTGGACCCATATACTAATGCGTGATAGGCTAGGACACATAGAAGTACTGTATCATCACAAAATGCAGCTGACGACTTACTGACAAGCAGTTGAAGGAAGGTTTTGATAATCCTGTTTGTCCTTTCTACTAGATCATTACTTTCTGGGTGGCACACAGCAGTATTTTCTTCCGACTCCTAACATCCGCCATACTTGGGTGATGAGGTGACTCAAATCCTTGACGTCGGTCATAATAGGGCGCCGTACCACCTCATCTAGCCCTATGACGTTCAAACGGATGAATAAACGAAGCTCTGTTTGTTGTGATGAGTGAAAATACTCAATGGGGTTTTTTCCATTGGACAGTTATCAGAGTGTTGCAGTAACCAGATACCCACGAAACCAAGATTTAAAACGCGGATAAACAACTTTCGTGCTAGACAGACGGTCACTATGAACCAACTCTTACGGTTGCAATCTAGATATTTTGACTGGAGAACCAGATCTAGTCATGATTACTTACGAAATCCAGGTAAATTTAATGCTTACTTGTCCTTATGTTATGTTAAATCTATGCTCGGGGTGTTGAAACTGAAACCTTACTTGACACGGGAGCGTCAGAATTTCATATAAAGAAGGAATTTGCGCAAACACCAAATTTTAAAAACCAACAAGAATCATGTCTTTCCGCATTAATCACGACGAGTAGCGCGTCCTCTGAAAGCATGTTTTAAGACGTGCGTAGACCTAACGATGGACCTGCATCAGTCTCAACATAAATTCATGGTTTTCCTTACTTCAATTGGAAATATGATACGTGGTGTTGATTTCACGTCAAAACAACAAGTTGCTCTACATATGGATAAGTCAGAGGTGCGAATGGACCAAGTGACTGGGCAGCTGTATCACTGAGTTGCGATCGATTCCATGTTTGCCCATTACTTTAGTGCTAATCAAACTCTACCGATGTTAACAGAACATTACAGTATTAAAACATTTTCGACGACTTGTATGCATGTGTTTAATTAACTTTACAAATTTGTATTGATCAGCATATATTGAGTCTCACTTAATTTTTAATTATTTTTAATCTACTGTGATAAACCTTAGTAATTATGCCTGCTTTTTTTAATATTTTTCACTTGTATAGTTCAAGAATGGAATTTTTAGATAATAGAAAAAACCTGATATTCAGAGAGGAGTTCGGTAATATCTAATTACTTTGAGTTGAATGGTTCTATCCTTAAACTCATATTATCTTAAACAATACTATCATGATATATCTCAAAAAATGATCAATAACAGAACGCTCGTCTTTAGAAATATGTGACGAGTATACCATCAGGAGAAACAATGAAAGCTAAATGATCAGACAAACCAACTAAAAGAACGCATCAATATCAGAAAAAGAAATTTATGATATCCATCAATGCTTACTTATCACGTAGTTCATTTAAGAAAATAAAACTAGTTGTTAGCAGCATTTCTAATTAATGGCATAGTTTATTCTAACAAAACTGTGAGTCTACTTACACCACTTCTACTTCGGCTATTAAGGCACAAAAGGAATACACACTGCATCTACATAAACATCAGTTGAAGCAGGCTTACTAGTGAATACTGCTTATTATTTCAGACTATATATCAGATCTAAACTTTGGTTACTTGTTCATTTATCTAAATGCAAAATAATACTTTGAAGGAATGGTTGATCTACAACCTGTCATCTTTATAGAGTTTGTTTTTAACTAAATGTGACCCAGATTTACTTTTTTGGTATTACGATAATTGAGATCAGCATAACTCAATAAGATGCACATATGAGATAACCACATACATATCCAAAATCTACAAATTATTAGATACATAACTGGTAAGTGAATGTGTTATTCAAACTCCAACGGTATTTTTTATGTAAAATCAATGATCAGAGACAGAAATATATGGTAAGATAAAACGAAAGATATTCAAATGCATTTTCTCTGAATGGTAAACGTATTGTGGTGTGAGCTACTTATAAGTAGTATATGACGTGAGCGTCAACGTAATGTCTGGCAGCATAATATGGGGGAAGATCAAGAAGGGAAGAGTTAGACAACAATGGAATTTGTATGAAATGCTTGAATAGTGACAATGTATTGATGTTTGGCAACAGGAACAGTCCAGTTCGATAGGATGAACTGATATTTTGCAAATGAACAATTTACGATATGGTTTTCCGATTTTACTGAGTAACTCTGTAATTTTCGCTAAATACAATTCGGTTGCCCCACCTGTGTTCTCATTCACTACAGTATTACTAATTTTACATTTGTATGCACTCACTCATACTTACCTTATTACATGTTTCCTTTATTTCCAGCGATACATTTTTCACTGCATTGGTTTTGCTGTTATTCTTTGAGTTGCAAATTTTGAAAATGTAAGCCAGGATACCTTTGTAAAAAGTTTCAAGTTGCCTTATCTATCTACTTATTTATGTTGCAGTGTAACTAAAAATGGAAAAAGGTGAAGCAATAGCTTAGCACCATAAGTACTTAAATTTTAACTAATAGGTGGTACAAGTGAATCCTTCTTCACTTGCTTCGGTTTTGGATGCTAGGCAATATCCTTAACCATAACACCAACTGTCTAATACATTAATCTGTGCTCAAGAAAATTAGTTATGCACGAAATATAATCAGTAAAGTATAACAATTACAAATAATCTAGATTGGAATTTTTCTAAATCTCACCTGTTGTATTTGATCTAGTGTAATACCTGCGGCAATGGAAACCAAAAGTTTATCACTTAATTGATCCGACAAACTTTTTAAGGCTGATAGTAGTATATGCGGCTTGACGCAGGCGAACACAATATCACTTTTCTCAGCCATTGGTATATTTGTTTGTATATATTCCACTCCATATTTCTAATCGAAAAAAAAAAGTAATCAATCGATTCAGTAACATCAGTGAATTTTTAACTAGTGAAATTCGTTTGTTTACCCACCACGACGACAAGATTCAGTTGGCGCAAATCAGTTTCAATAGACAATAACTAGGATGAGCTACACAAAAAAGTCGTCCACATCGATCAAATTCTTTAAGCCGAATGTGGAAAGCGATATTTTCAAAAAAGAAGCGAGAAAAATTAAATGATTGCTTAAGGTAGCGTAGTATGTCAAATGTAAATGTAAGCTATGATCAGCGAATTCTTCACAGAGCCAAAATAGTAACCTACATTTCCATGTTTAGCTCACTTTGCTTACATATGAATAATCACTGTTTGTGTGTGTGTACTTAAGTATCAGTATTTAACAATTCAGTTCCGTACGTCCTTGACTTGTTCCTCTGTCAAGCTTCATTAGTCAATTATTAGAAATGCTTCAAGCGGTTAAACCGAAAATTACACCATATATCACGAAAAAATTAATGTTTGCTTAAGTTAGTTGTTCATTTTCTATATGCATAACTTGATTTTATATTATTGTTCTATAGTTTGTTTCTCATCATTTCCGTTTTCTTATTTATTGAAAAAGGAAATCACAGAAAGATTGAAATAGAATATGCCGAATCGTTTAACTTTCTCCGGAAACAACACCTACTAAGCACACTACTCTGTATTGTGTATTTGTAGATTTATAATTTACGCTTCATGAATGAGTTCATATAGGCACTAAGTAGTGAATTGTTCATGTTCCTTCAAATAAAATAAAAAATGGTTTAATATTCTAAAAACGTTGATCTCAAAAATGTTTCGAAAAAAAACCGATCATCTTATTCTCAGGCATCTATTTAATGAACATGCATAATCTGTACAAAGATTTAAATTTTACACACGATGATCAAGTAACTATAAAAGCTAACTAATATTCTGTATTGTAAATCTTTAGTTTCCCAATAGTTGAATATCTTCAGTGTACTTTAAGAAAGGTAAGTACTAAATTAAATATAACTTACTTGTGGACAGTATACAAAAATCTTAACACGTCCCGCAACCTTTAACGAAGACAACAGTCTGTAACCTACAGAAAACCTACACTATGACTGAAATTAGCTGTAATCAAAAATGTTGTCCAACTCAATCATTAGCCAAGTACAATACAACCATAAAAGATATATACTTTAATCTCGAGAGAATGAAGTTCATACATAGCATTGATATTTTTTACAACAACTGTAAGCATGTTCCGGTTCTCCACCAATCGAAAAATTAACGTAATACGCTATAAAACATGGTATCACATGAATCAGCCTATTCTGAACACACTTGAATCAAACAAAACAACGATTAACGACCTTTATCTGTTTAACAAACTCATACACAGACTTCTTTGTTTTGTAAAAAAAAATATGGAAAAATAATTATATTAATGATTTTTGTTTTACGAAAACGTTAAATGAATGTATACTACAAAAAGCCTTATAAAATTAAATTGATCATAAAAACAAAAGACGAACCACATGCTAAATGAAGATGATTAATCAACAAATTATTTATTTATTGATTCGATAATGCAAAAGTAAGCGAAGGAATCCGATTTAATTTAGTTGTGCCATAGAAAAATAAAAAGCAGAAAATTTTTTTTTAATTGGATCAGTTTAATCAGTTATGTACACCTTTAAAATATCAAGTAAAGCCGATTGTTTAATAAAGAAGGGAAAAACACCTCTTATGAGAAAATGATTTCGTGATAATGTGGGTTTGTATCAAGGCGTAACGGTTTCAATATTGATTAGGTTGATGATAAATGTAATCAATTCCCATTAAAGTTCAGTGAATTGGACCATGAAGCAACACAAATTCGCCATACGATTCTACTAGGTAATAAAGTGAACACAAAAAATAATGTATCGGATCGATGGTTGAAGAAATGGTAACTTTTATAACTATTTTATGAATCACTACTATTCATATTCGTAAAGTATAATTGCTAATTGTCTAAATTACTGCCTACATATATTTCGTTCACCATAAGCTTTGTTCAACCCATTAACTATGAATGCCAATTTGCTTTCAATCAGTTATTTACAGCCTGACTTATTCATAGTCACATTTTACTTGTCTATGTACAATTGTGCTTTTTTCAATTTACGGTGAATGTGGTCAAGTATATTCATATATAAACAAACGTGTGTTTCAAATATAATATATCAAAAGCTAAATGGTGATATCTTTTTAAAACCAACCGAGGACACATAGAACGTTTTGAAGAAGGGCTTGTAGTCAGAATTCTGATTAGTGAATTAAGCGCGTAGTATCAATTATAGAATGATGGTAACAACAAAATGAAAACGTGGAAGAAGAAACAGATAAGTTCGATTTTACCTACAAAAATGATAACCACCATGGTACTGGGTGCGCATGAATGGAAAGACGTTTTAGTCCTAAGACGTAATGACCCAGTTGTACTGGTTATGATCTGTGGAGAATTCTATGAGAACTTCACACTATTTATGTGACCGATTAGCATGAATCTGAACGAAAATCGGTATTGTTAATCAATCTGATTCTCGATAAGCTTTTTACTGAATCTTACTCAAAATTTTGTTATGTAATTATATTAATTTTTCTTCCGAAAGAATAATCCTAAATATGAATAACGAGTTGGCAGCATTACACGTTGGCGGGAAACATATATCATACTACAAGAAATAAAATAACAAACTGTAAACAAAGAATATTAACATCAAGGTTTGAAAATCACCACAAGCAATAAAACCCATAGTAAACACATGCAGATTGGTACTAGGAAAAACACTTATAGGGACAGAACTCACTGAGAAACGTTAGAGTTAGATGATTACGATACAAATCGCACATCATCTATAGCTGTCAACAACATTTTCGGCCGCTTAGATGAAGTGGGAATATTTTCAGAATTGAAAAGTGTAGACATTGGTTTTGATGTCAGTAAGGGAAGAAACAACCGATCACGTCGAAAGTCGATGATTAGATTATTAAAGCAATAAAAATTTTAGTATTTACAGAAACAAAAGTCTATTTAATGGTAAAATAGCACACAATTGCATTGATCTACTAAGATGAAATCAGTAGTTTGCAGATTTATAGCAAAAAAACGGGCATGTAATCACATCATTTTCAACTTACAGAACATAGGGCTTTCAAGGATATAAGAAACTAGACAAACGTGCATAGCAAATAAATAAACGGAAACGAAACGAACTATTAAAGTGTTAAACCAAAATATTAGGTTGCTTTAATGTGCAAAATAATTTTCTATGAATCACAATAAATGAACAAGCTTTAAAAATATTGACATAATTTCTGTAATGTGTGATCCTCAAACAGATATCTTTGCTTCCGTCCATTCGTAATAGGGCAATCAATGGTCGTTTTGCATAACAAGTAATAATATTAGTTATTAGCTATACAGAAAACTCAGAAATGAAAAAAAACGCTTCGTTTAATCACATAATCATAAATTCAACTACTATTTCTACTTAATTTATCAACAAAACACAGGCATTTGGTATTTTGGGAAGAAATTATCATTTGCTCGATATCTGTAAGTCAATTAATTTTCTTAAACATAATAAAAATTGTTTTTTCCTCAAATTATGACGCATTTAGGGCATGAAGTATGGAAATTCTTTGAATGCTTCTTCCAACTTATGCCTTACATAATTCTCAGATTGAAGTTTGTTATCAACGGGACAAATTCGAAAATAATTGGGTACTGTTCCATCAACTTCATCTAAATTCACTCAGATAAAACAAACAGAAAGCATAGAGAACTCATTTAGATGTACGAATTCATATGCATATCAACTGGAGTATTTAGTAGTGTTTTGAGTCAACCATTTACACTTCTTTCTCATTTTATTTATGACATCCATTAAACAATGAACTTTCATGAACGAAAATGGTGACCCTAAAGATGAGATTTTCTAAGTCACGGAACATAAAACAATATTATTACATATTTTCGATTTGATTATTAGATAGGTTTTCTAATATCGTTAACAAAATGCGTGTAAAACAATTACTAGTAACCTGGAATAATGAAAACTAACGTACAATATACTCATACCAATGTACGCCATAAATTTGTGAAAGTATAAAATATGATATTAGGGTCATGACTCGTTTGAATAATGTGTGCATTTTAATAACCTTAAACATTTTAATGTCTACATAGTAAATAACTCACATAGTTTATAAAAAATAATAAGTGATTCTTTTGTTTTTTTGTTTGAGATTGATTCTCTTACGTAATTAAACAGGATTACTTACTTACTTACTTACTTACTTATGCCTCTCACCCCCAATGGAGCATAGGCCGAATTAAACAGGATAAGAACGTTTTAATGGTAACTAATGAGTATTTTCATCTGAGCTTCATGCTCAATCATCTCAGTATTTCATTGAAGAGCATTTTTGACAACCCTTACTTTCTGATTAACATTTTCAGCATCTACTTAAAATGAAACAAACACTACCAATATCCGATTGACGAGATTCGGTAAACAGGTACAGGTTTACATATAAATCTAATCATGCTTTATGAGTATTTACATTCAGAGCTGATTGCTTGAACTGAGTTCAGTATGAAGAGATTAAAATTCTTTATACAGTGGTTATAAGTAGCGAACCAAGACTACTGAGTAACTGCTTAACACATAATCATCTGTACACACATGTGAGTATGAAAAATGGGACGTTAACCACGGTAAGACATGAACATCAAACAAAAGAGAATCAGCAAGAATAATCCTCTGTTTCCTTGATTGGTGAAACCAAAACGCAAGAGGTAAACACACAAACAAAATGGTTAAAAATGAATCTTATTAAGGGCTTTATCGAAGTAGTCAAAAAAGTCAAAGGATCATTGTTTTGAGAAGTTATGTTGTACGTTGCTAAACCAACCATATTTTATGCTTCTAGGCTTCCTCTAGTTGATTCCCTACTGTGCTGCCTTGACAGAAAACTTCAACCGAATTCCTGTCGGTTTAGGTCATGTCACTGAATGGTACACGTAACTGTGGTCTGAATAAAACGAATATAACCTTTCTTATTCTAGTCAGCACACAAACGGCTACTAGGCTGGTAAAGTAAAAATTGCTTGTTCAAAATTCTACTAGATTGGACAATTTTTTCAATTGGAAGCGACATTGTTATACATAATTAAATCTAACCATGAGTGATAAAAATATACAGCTTAATTTTGTTAGTATCTCCATTGCAAATAGTTTTTGTGTTAAACATCAACTAAAGTATGTGTTCACATTTAACTACCAAGTATCAGAAATGGATGTTAAATGATTATCTGAAGTCTACTATTAATTAATCTTACGAAAAAAAATCATATAAGCAATACTTTGAATCGTTTGTTGTATTGAACTGAAACAATCATAGTCAGGAAAACAAAGTGTGGGATAAATTAGTCTACATTGAAAGACAAAAGTTGTTTATATTGGAAAAAATTAATTTAACGACATTTTATATTTAAAATATACATATATTATATTGTACACAAAGTATACCTCTGCATCTGGAAATGATAAACCATACCGATCAGTCATTGTTACTTGGGAACCCTTGATTATATCTGAAATTTCAAAACAGAAAAGCACTACAAAGAATAACTGCACACACAAAACTCATAACAGGCTGCAAGGATTTAAAAATCCAACAGGTAGTTAATGAGAAAAATATTCGATAATAACCAGTAACAGAATCGTTTTATCATCAACAGCAACGTAGAACTTTAGACGTAAGTACATCAGTTCAAGTTATCATACCACATTAGCACGGAGAGGTGCAATTGTCAGTTCAAATCCCATAGTAGCAGAGGTAGTAAAAGTATTAGAAGTAATCGGATAGATTAGGCTTCGAAGATATTATTCAAGAAGTATAATCCGGTGAGGTACATTCAGAAAGAGAAAGATAAATGTGATGAGGAATTCGGAAGGTTAGCATTTGAGAGAACACAAAGAGTGAATATATCAGCGCCATTGCAAACGACTTAAAGCCATGTCGTTCAAGGTATCTAATCACTGGTGACTTACGTCTCGCGGACCCCAACCAGGTAGCCTACATCTACCAACATCACTCAGTCCACTTGTCAGTGACTTCATGGATTTGTGCCATCCTTTGGTTTGGCCACCCCTAGCCCTCTTCCAACCTACTCCTACGCCACGAAACATAGCTCGTCGAAGCAGTCGGTCGTCGGGCATACGTAACACATGTCCCAACCATCTCAACTGATGAAGCTACAATACTTCATCTATTGACCTGCCATCTCTACCTAGTACTCGTTTTCTAACGACAGCATTGCTTATACAGTTGTCCCAAGATACACGAATAATGCTTCGGAAACACCGATCATCGAAGACTAGTAACTTACAATGACTGTTCGCCATAAGCTATCACCCGACCAGTACAGAGAGCTTGTATAAGGTTAGTGTACTTCTTTGGTACACCATGCAATGACAGACACTGCCACAGAACCTCACGATCCACTGAGTCAAATGCCGCCTTAAGGTCCAGGAAGACAACTGTTGTAGGACACCTGTATGTGTATGTGTACCTGTGTTCCAGGACCTGTCTGAGTGTGAAGATGTGGTCTATACATCCACGTCCAGGTCGAAAACCAGCCTGGTTCTCTCGAGTCTGCTCTTCACAAGCTCTAGTTAGGCGTCTAAGCATAATCGAGGCTAACAATTTAGAAACTATATTAGTTAAACTTTCGCGCGTCCATCAGTTCGGTGGATGCGACTGATATCCACGGCTTCATCTTAGCCTTATGGTTTACCTTACTAACAGATATCACTGCTGTTTCCACAGCCTTTTTGATATCATACCAACCTGCTTCTGGATGGGAATCGCTTGGATGGTTGCCTAACTGTCTTTCTAGTTGCTCCTGAAATATATTCTTAGCTTTATTATCATTAAGTAAAACCCTAAGAGGCTTCCTCGAGGTGTCTTTCCTGCGTCCAGTAAGCCTCAAACAAATACGCGCTCGCACTAGGGCATCATCTGAATCTAAACATGTGCCCCAGAACGAGCGACAGTCCTCTGTCGAACCCGTCCATACGTTTACTGAATTACGTAAAATTATTAACACTTGAAAAGAAAAACTTACTTGAAGCTAAAAAACCCTTTACCAGAGCTTGAGACATATTACCAGATCCCAAAAATCCGAAATGTTTTGAAGCCAGGACAGCTTTTATATCAACTGACATTGCTGTATGGTTATTTCAAAGAAAAAAATATGCGAAACTTCAAATAATCAATTGACAAACAAAAATGTAAAGCATATATTGGTATATAAAATTTTAAATGTTCTTACAATATACAAAGACATGAATGATTAACAGTAATACAGAGGACTTGCCATAACTTTTACTATATAGGAGATTTTTCGAGAAACCATATTTTTTAGAAATACGCCAAGAATTAAGTAACATTATGTTGACAAATGATTGGTAAAGCTATCCTAAAAACTGATTAACTACAAATGATCGCTAGTTTAATTAATTTAGCATGTATCATCAAAGTGTGTGCATTAGTCGAAAATGATTTATGCAATTATATAATTTATAAATACACATACACTGATCGATGCATAAACTATATTTTGCACGAATGTGTATTGATGTAAAGGAACCACTGTCCAAGGTCAACTGTATTTACAATCAAAAAACGACATGTTTTAATGAATGACACAGTTAAATCAGTATATGTGTGTACATTATAAAGTCATAATAAGTAATAATACTATTGATTGAAATGGCCATGTTTAAACTGACTCTGTGTAACACATTTTAGTGATTTCGAACAGTTTTGAGTACATTAAACAAACTGATATTTGTTTACCGAATTGTAATCGTGAAATTATATTCTTGATTAAGTTCTTTAACCTATTGAGAACAATTTAGTCAGATGGTGGAGTTTTGATAAAATTTAACAGATATTATTTTCACTTTAGGATATTACTCTTCGATTATAATTCATCTGACAAATTTTAATATTTTAAAGGTATATTACGAATAAAGGTTACCTTCAGAAAATATTATTCATAATTATAACAACCACAATGAACCATTACGATCTTATTCACAAAGCATATTTTATTCAAACAGTCTCATAAATAATTACCTTTCTCTAAATGTTCGAAAAAAATAGGTGACTCAATAAACATTTCAGATCAATTTCCTTAAAAGTTCTAAAGAGGTTTATATAACATATTGGTAATGGTTAAACCGTCATTTCTGGTCCGCTTAGATCACAACAAACCATTTTGATCATATTAATCAGCCCAGTGAGAACTCTTGACATGCTCTTAAATTTACTTTGGTAACAGTAAGCTCTAGAACGTGCACATTAGTTTCAAAACATTTGATCTTATTCCTAATAGTTGAAAATATGTCGTCTTGTTTAACCTTTTGGTCATTTTTTTATTCCACTACATTAGTTGATGGTATCAAACTGCTTGAGTTTGAAGTAATGAAAACAAAAGATATGGAACGACTATGTTGTAACTGGCTTAAGAAATAATAACTATACAGGTCATTTTCTACTGAACTCTTCTTTGAGGAGAACCTTCTAAGCTTTGACCACTGTTTTAAAGTGAGATGTGATTTTATGTGTTCTAGACATAGTATGATTACTTTGCTATTATACTTAGCCTTCGTATTTAAAAATATGCACCTGAAATACCAATATCGAATGACTTAAGTCATAAGGTTTGTTTTTAACAACGGAAATTATAACACGAATTAATCCACACCTTCAAATTTTTCTAGTCGAAATTTGTGTCCCAATGCCACTTCTTGAGAATGATAAAGGCCGGTCAATTTTTTGTGATTGGCTAAAATAGCTTAAAATAGATTAGTGATGTAGGTGTATCTATACTTTGCTTTCTATTAAGTTTAGAGTTCAGTTACCAACTGTAAATTCTTTAATCTGATCTGTCCACTTCAAACCTCAACTCCTATATTTAGATTAATATGGCAGTCGGAAATGACTTTGCTTCTGTTTTTCACACTAATTACGTATCTCCTCTCTGTTTTGAGGTATGGAAACTAGGATTATTCATGACAGATTTTTAATTGATGATAAATGACTGGTCTATTTTATTAATGAATGTGATGTGGTGAGTTCTGATAATGTGAACAGCATCGCAGGTCCCCAAAATTAGATCGGAATATTACATGATTATATCACATTATGCAATATACTTTTCTTTTAGTTTTTGGTCTGTTAGCCAAAGAATAGGTTTATTGCCTAGAAGTTAGTTTCGTTCCACATTATGAGTGTGAAACATGGCCGGTAAGAGTAGAGGATTTTTGTAGGTTACTGGTTTTCGACCATAGGTGTCTTCGAAGCATTGCTCGTATATCCTGGGATCATAGAGTAAGCAGAGCTGTTGTGAAGAAAATGGTACTAGCCAAGGACGGAAGATCACCTGATGGAGCAGTGAATCTTCATCAGCTGAGATGGTCGGGATATGTGAAACGTATTCCTAACCACTAACTATCTCGACGAGAGATACTGTCTGATGTAGGGATAGGCTGGCAGAAAGGTTAGGATGACCAAACAAAAATATGGCACGAACCCATGAAGTTACCAACAACTGAAATGAGTCATGCCAGCAGGTGTAGACTACCTAGTTAGGGTCCACGACACAACCAGAACCGGTGGTTAGAGACTGGATGACGTGGCTCAAAATCGTTTGCGATGAGGCAGATGCAACCATACTTTGTCTTTTCTCAAATTTAATCTCCAGATTTCCTTATGACCGTTTTTTCTCTTTTTAAATTTATTTCACTGAAATATATTTCTTTTCTATTATCGCTTATAGTGCTATCAAATTTACCGCTATGGGATTTGCATTGACAATCCCATTTCTGTGCTAACGTGGTATGGCAACTTGAGCTGATGTTCTACGTTGTAGTTGGCCGACTGGCTTTTATGTAGTTTAAACTATGAAAAGCCACTAAACAAGTGAGCGTTTTATTGCATAGCTTTACTGACGGTTCCTAACGGTCATTGAAACGAAACTAGCAGTTAAGTCGACCCTTTTGCAAGTCACAAAAGTCACATACAGAATAACACCCAAGTTAAGCTGTATTTAGAAATTTGATGCACAGTCGGTCATGTGGTTAAAAGTTTAACCTACAACGTATAAAGCAGCACCAAAATGGGTGAAATCCTAAAAAAATTATCTGGAAACAACCACCTCTAATCCAAACTGACAATCTTAGATTGACATGAAAGAAATAAGAGATAAACAGAGAATGTTGTTTTTCTTTTTCTATTTCCATCAAGAAACGGAAAGCTACTCCATCAAGTTTAGTTTCCAATACTCCTAAATTCTGGACAAAATTGATATATATTAAGACAGTTCTATCGAAAATGTTGGATCACAATAAAACCAGAATGAGGATATAGAGGTGAGGTTGAGATGAAGGTGGAACGTAAACTCCACATCTATTGTGGACTATTTAGGCGACAAATAGACTATTTGGCTTCCATGAAACTGTAAATTAATATACACTTCGCCTGTTGTGATAAATTTAAGGGAGGTATCTCATTATTTCGATAGCCTAGGTGACAAAGGAGACATTCTGAAGTAATGTCACCTGAATTGACACCAAATTTCCTTAATCAATGTCGCCAGTGTTTCTTCCGAGTTAGCTTATATTTAGCCATGTATGTTTAATGAGGACAGATATACGTAGTCATTTGAACTAGAGTAGACACAAGGAAGCGACTGCTAGCAAATGATGATGAACTTTAGAGGTCTGGGAAACATTTTATGAAGCTTTATATATATAAGTGAAGCGAGAATTGTAATAACAACTAGCTTAAGCTACTTTCCTTCAATAAAA